TTAAATGGGTGGATTGTTTGGTATGTGAATTATATCTCAATAAAATTCTTACCAAAGAAACCCCCATAGTCATAACCCACTTACTGCTATATTGTAAAAGAAAAAAAAGAAATAAAAAACAAATCAAAAAGCAATTCCACTGGTGGGGTGCCCCTTAGCTGCCCACCCAGAATTCTAGTCCCTTGCAGAGTCTTCCAAGTATTCTGAAAGTCTCAAGAAATATGTGCTCAGGAATGAACCCAGTCATTTTCCTGCCTCAGCGTCTTTATTCAAGCTCACCGCCCTGAGGCTACTTGAGGGGGAGACCTTTCAGTGCCAGCACGGTTTCTGTGGAGAATGCTGCCTGGCAGTCTTGTGAAGCCACCATTTCCTTATCAAAAAGCTGAGAAAGATGCCACCTGCCCTGTCCCTGTGCCACCTGGGTCCCAGAGCAGCCTCACTCAACCCAGAGTCTCTTTCTCGTGAAAACAGCTCTTTTCACATCTTACCTGGTTCCACCGTAAGAATTCGAAAGCCACCTGCAGAGCCAAGCAGGGAATAGATGTTACACTATCCCACCTATTCTCCCATCTCTCACCATCTTTCTTCCCATGAAGCCAAAACAAAACCAAGGCTTTGTTTAGCCCTGAACATGTCAACTAAAGCTGACAGATACCGGTGGGGTCACCAGCCCATCAGCTGAGCAGACAGCCAGACCCTGAGTCAGAGTTTGAATCAGCTGAGTCCCTGGGGCACTAACTTATCTTCCCAACAAGCCAGTGAATAGATTTGTGGAAAACAAAACAAAACCAACAAAAAATACCCCCTGGTACAAGAAGACAACTGATATTTGATTGAATTTCTCCAACCAAGTAATTCATTCCACTTGTACTATGTATGAGAGTCCCTATCCCAGCACATGAGATTGTGTTTATAGGAGGAATAAATCGTGTATTAGTTTTTAGGGGGGTTGATAACTTTACATATCCGATACTTATGTTTATATGTATGAAATGTGTGTTTTTAAAAATCATGTCAAAATGATTAGAAAGTAGAGTAGGAAGTAAGACCTAGACAGAACCATCAACTGAAGGAATGTTATCATTCATGAAATCTCTTCATGAAAAAAAAAGAAATCATGGGGTATATGAGAAAGACACAGAAATAAAAAGGATTATTTAACAACCTGAAAATTATAAAGATTTTCCTGTTAGTTCATTTCTTAATTTGAAAACAAACAGGGAATTATTTTCAGCTGAAACCAAGAGAATTTAGTATTAAACATTTCCATGCATTCATGGACATCTGCCTTTTTTTAAAAAAAATAGTACCAGAGCATATGTAGCAATGGGCTCCAGTAAGCCCAGCAGGAAGGAAAGTCATGCTTGAGAAAGCATGGGAAGGAAGAGGTGGTCTGGCAGGTCCCAGAAGAAACATGAGATTAAACCATTCACAAGGTAGGGAGGAGAAGAGTCTGAGGCAGGCCATGCCATGGGCCCAGGCCAGCCCGTCACAGTAGCAAGCAAGCAGCCCATTCGAGGACAGAGGCCAGTTGCTCTTGGCTCTGTTTTTAAGACTACATGATTTCTATACTTGAAGGGGACATTTTCTAGTTATAGAATTTGCATAATCCCGTTTCCTTTTAAGTTTTTAATCTGGTATTGCATTATAAGTGCATAAATATTAAATTGATCATAATGAGTGATACATGTGGGGAAAACCCAGGATCCTGGAGTATTCATCAAACTCTAAGGTAGTCAGAAGACTAGAAGCAAATCCATCCTCTGTTGGAACTGGACCAGGGTTAGAGAGGCCTTCACATCTGAAGGGAACGTTTCTGAACACACCTCCCTTCGAATACAAGTTAGGATTGTGAGAGATTAAAAAAAAAAAAAAAAAAAACAGTCCCGATGTTAAAGATTTAGATGCATTCAAGTCATATAACAGTGAGATATAAACATGACACATATATTTAAACACATAATACATTAATGCAGTAAAGTGAAAGCTTTCTATGATGAATCATCCCCTCCTTACACAGTGTCACAGGGATTACTTTATGCTGAAGAAGTTTAATTAGCATAGGTAGTTTGTGGCCCTGTTTGTGAATAAAAACCTCTGCTCAAGATTTTTATATTCCTAAAATACCACAACCCTCCAACGTTGTCTGACCAGCTGGCTTCTGAATCTATGCAGTATAGTGTTTTTTGTAGACAACTAACATGCCATAGAATGAAAAGAAACAATGATTGACTTCTTGGATGGTCAACTGGAGTGGGTTCAGTCATGAAAAGGGGACCCACAGACCTCACACAGCCCCAAGCAGCATTAGACTCCTTTATTTTTGTAGAAGAAAAACTACTTTCTTCAAATTGCTTCATACAATAAACCAGGTATTCAAATGAACAGGCCCGGATAAATGTTTTGCTTGGTTTAATCGAATCAGTTTACCAGAATCAAAGGAAATCCAGGCGATTGTATCCAGCTAAGGTACTTGATACATCCAGCTGAGGTACTCACTGTGGATGTTTACACGTTACAGGTCAAGAATATTTGACGTGTCGGTGTTTAGGCGTAGCATTTATTTTGTTCAGACCCATTAGAACTTTTACACCAAAATGACGTCTTGCTCCTACTCTTACTTGGAGTCAGGGGCCTACCTCTCTTACTAGGTGGATTTTGTTCACCTCCTTTCCTGGCTTGAAAAGGCCTTCAGAGATAATTAGTCATCAATTTAGTTTTTTACTTTCTAATCACTTTTAATTTTGGTGCGAAGTGTTTTTTTGACAGCTGGATCATCCTCGTTTATTAAACACATCTCTATATTGTTCTGAGCTATTTCCTCGGGTCACATCTACCTTAAGAATTCGACTTGCCCTATGCATCTCTTCCTTTTACTTGGCTGTTCCCGAGTTATATCCTTTAGAATAAAACTGTAACTATAAGCATAAAAAAAAAAAGAAAAAAGAATTCGACTTGCCATCACTAATGAATTCATGGGTGGGCATCAAATTCTGGAGCTGGTTCCTTAATAATAATACTGAAAATCTTTTGTATTTTACAGAATGTCACATGCCATTTTATGGCAGAGTGTACATTTCTATAGTTATTTTTAACCTTGTTGGGGGTCATGGATTCCCCAAAAGAATATGATGGAAGCAGTCTCCTCTCAGAAAAATGAACATATGAATATATGCAAACATTTGCATATCATTTTTAAAAGTTTGTGGACCTCTAGAGATTATTTAGTGATACTCTAGGATTAAGAACTTTTGTTCTAAGGGGACATTTTCGAAAGAGATAGCATTTCTTTTGATTTACAGGGCAGACTCTTTTGAAGAGAGAAATGTGAGGTAACTGAATGGGACCAGATGTATCTTGGAACATTAGCGTAAGATCGTTGAGGAGAGAAACATTTGATAGAAGCGAAATAACTTCTGGACCATTTCTTTCCAAGCTAAGAATATTGCCCAGCCTCATAAAAAGGATCTTTTCCACGGGTACACAGAGTTATAAGGCCACTGATCTCTCTCCAAGAACACAGGCTACCGTAGAAAGGATGACATGCGCTTTGGGAAAGAGTCACTTTTCCCCTGTGTCTAACCCTTAAGTGTGATGTAACAGTCTTTGGAGAAAGAGTTATGTTTACTTATTTTTTCCTCACCTTAATCTTCCCTTTAGCATATGGTGACTTTTTCTTCTCACAAATGATACGGCTAATTGCAGACAAGAGGATTGCCATTCCTGTGATCTAGAAGGATTCTGCTCCCGGGTAAACAGCCAAGAACTTTTGTTAGAGAGAAGGAAGATGGAGGAAAAGGAATTGACCTTTTCTGGTGTGTGTTCTAGGCTGAACCTTTGAAGTAGTGCCTTTCATAAGCCTGCTCATGACAAGCAAGAGCAACAGGAAAGCAAACTGGACCGAACCCTGGGCCAGTTAGTCCATTTCTTTGAGCTTTTGTTTCCTCATCTATAAAATGGAGATAATAATGCTTACTTTATAGGGATTTTTTATGATATAGGAGAGAGTGTGTGTCAGATGGTTAGCACATGCCTGGCATGTAATGAGCATACAATTACCCTCCTCAGTTGATTTTGTATTTTCGAGGGTGATAGTTTTGTTTTTATCAACTCAGAACACAATAGAACATCACATCATTGTTGCTTTTTAAAACTAGTGTCCTCCAGCAGACAGGCTACATGATTGGGCACTGTTTAAATATTTTAATACTTTTAATATGTGATTATGCCTTCATTTTAGGACACTTGAAGTGTTTGGTCCAGATGGCAAGTTATATAATCAGGTTAATTTTCCTGGACCCTGAACTTCTCTTGGACTTGAAAGTATCACTGTCACTCTGGAACCAGCACCCACCTTAACTTATGTATTCAGTTACTCATTTGTCACTGATCGAAAAAAATATTTACTGAGAGCTGAATAACACCACATGTGGGGACACAGTACCAAATGTGTCTCAGGAAAGCCCATCTGGGAAGCAAAGGGGAAGAGTTCACCTGCTGGCTTTCTACCTGGTATTGTTTGAACTCTTGCTACCCAGGAACCCCCCTGAGCTTCTGGTCTACCTATGCCTGCATCTTCTGCCTCAGCATCAGCAGGGAGGGGCCAGGGTAGGGGCTGGAGGATTGTGGATTGGACACTTAGGCCTGTTAGAAACCTGACTGATAGCAACACAAGGCACCCAGATTCGTGGCATAGATCCGCTCAGTAACGCAAAGCACCAGCTTACCCTCTGCTTCACTTTCACAGTGGGTGTTTTATTTATAACTTGTGTGTAACAGCTTGGCTCCGTGTTATAAGTCAGCTCTCTTGATGATCCTCCTCTGCCTTTAACATGTGTGTCTTCCTGTGTCCTTGACCCTCTGTCTTCAATTCACGTCTCCACAGCCTCGCAGACCGGAGCCCTCCGACTTCCACCCAGGGAAAACTGAACTGCATTTTGTCATTTCATTTCTGGGATGTCTATTTTCTTTTCATGGAGGGTATTTTGACTTTTTTTTAGGGCCCTTTCACAAGATGATCAAGATGACATCCACCTAAAACTGGAGGATATAATTCAACTGGTAAGTTCAGCCGTGGTCTTATCCTGCACAATTATATGTAAGACTCACCTCTCAAAGGCAAGCACTGTGCCCATAACTGATAACTGGGTTCTGGACTGTATATTCTGTCGCTGTAAACTGTGTGAGAAGAACCAGATTTGGCTTTGGGGTTTAGCAGTTGGTCCATGATGTTAATGCCGGCTGTTATTTCTGAACTTTCTGCCATTTTCTTCATAGCTGGAATCTAGGGTGGACTTTGTACTCCAAGCAGCTGCAGTGAGCTGGCAGGCACCTTGCTTCCGAGTGTGTTTCATTCCCTGCCCTCATCTCTTGCAGACAGACTGTCCGAAGGCCGAGTGCTTTGAGACCTTGTCGGCCATGGAGCTGGCTGAGCAGATCACCCTCCTGGACCACATCATTTTCAGAAGCATTCCCTACGAGTGAGTGTGCCCTCACAGCAGCAGGGCTGCCTTACAGCTGACATTGTTCCTCAGCAGATGCGTGTGCGCAGAGCTGTGGCTCTTAGTCTTATGTTGGTTTTGTCCCACTTGAATGTCTTTTGGTTCCACTATATGTTGGAAATATTTATATAGAAATATTGGGAACTCTCAGGATGGTCAGTCTTGTGTTTCTGTATGTGCTACAGTTACCATAGAAGGCGAAGTTCTCTGTCCTCTCACATCTTTGTGTTATAGAAACCGCAATACAGTATAACAGTGGTTCTCAAACTTCATGGTGCCTAAAATCATTTGGGAAACCTGTTCAAAATGTACATCCCTAGGTACCGCCCCCTGGCCACCCCCCCGGCAGAAATCCTGATTCCAGTAGGTTTGAGGCCCAGGAAACTACATTTTCAATGAGAATCCCAGATAATTCTGCGTGAGCTAAGACTATACTTTGAGAAACACTGATGTTGGGAAATTCTGTAAATTCTGCTGCAATTTTTCCCCCATGTCCATAAATCAGCAGGTGGTATTGCTGAGCATCGAGACTCCAGAACAGCGTAGACTCCCAAGACAGCGCTTTGCACAGAGCACACTTGGAGTGGGTATCTGCCGAGTGAACGCTGTCACGTAATGAGCATCCATGTCACTACTGCCTTTTAACTGTCTCGTGTGCAGAGTAAGGGAGGCTCTTTAAGCCCCCTCCTGCTGTCCTAATCAGCAGCTCTACAAACAAGGCCTTTGTGTGGACAAATAACAACTGTTGGCATAAGTCCCCTGTGAAATTATAACTAAATGAAAGGTATGGGAGGGGCTGGGTAAGAGGTATGACTGTGGTCCATGTTGTATGTAGAGAAGAGGACATCCAGGATGATGGAGGCTCAGGCATAGCCGTGTTGGTGGTCAGAGCTACAATAGAAGGGGCAGGGCCGGAAGATGCTCTTGCAGACTTTTCTTTTATGCATTTTATCTTATTTCCCACTTTCAGCAATTGTAGGCCCATCCATGAACATGGGGAAAAAAGGAACGTGGCCCCTTGGCCGTACAAATGAACCCACTGACTCTTTGATGACTTGAGTTAGGAGTGCAGTGCCTCTTCCCCCCACCTCCTGACTATCCTCCAGTGCAGTGAGGATTCAGGAGGGAGGGGAGCATGACCAGTATGGAAGAGGAGAAACAGCAAAGGCTGAATCTTTGTGGTTGCCCTTGGTGTGGTCTCTTCCTGGGACCCTTCTCACCTCTCCTCCTCTCTGCTGCTGTGAACATGTACCAATTTTCATCCGTAGAAAAAGCACATCTTTGTGTCCAACAGCCTTGCAGGATGGGAACAGTACCACCCACGTCAAGGGACTCAGTCAACATTGGTGGATTAAGAATGTGTCAGAGTAATTTCATTTTAATTTCGGTAATGCCTTGACAAAATAACTCCTGTATGCTCCAGCTTGATTGTCCCTCGCTTGCTGTGATCCAGTGACCCACTCATGAGTGAAATGAAGGAGCAGGGATGTTATTCAGAAGACAGACCTTCCTCCAGGCTGAGCTCCCACCACCGTAACTGCCTTCCTCACACGAACGGGCTGCAAAGTGCTAACACCAGCATTTGTTCATTCGGCCCTTACCACGTGTACTGTTCCGGGCTCTGGGGCGAACAAAGGAAAGTCCCTGCCCACGGAATTGACATTCTCCTGGAGACTGTCAGAGCAAAGTGGAGGAAAACATGCTGTTCTTGATTAACATTTTTGGTAGTGATGGATTTTTCAAGCCTTCTGCTAAGGCTTAAGATTTTTTCAAGGTGATCCAGGGAAAATGGTCTTGGTCTCTGAGTTAGCACTTAAGCTCTTTATTCCTCTTGTCATTGTTTTCCAATTTCAGAGAAGCCTTTATAATGATCCTAATAGGGACCCGGTTCCAAACATTTATAAGACAAAGCTGAAACTGAAGAATCTTTTTCTTTTTGGCATCAAGTGGTGAAATGGTAGAATTGAGCTAAAGTTCAATTGAGATGGAGCAGCAGGGTTGGGCAATGTCAAGTTTAATGTATATAATATTCATAATAATTATTCAGGATCATGGGCACCCTTAGAAAACTTAATTGATTTTGTGTTTTGTTTTGAATTTTCAGAGAATTTCTTGGGCAGGGGTGGATGAAGCTGGATAAAAATGAAAGAACACCTTACATTATGAAAACCAGCCAACACTTCAATGATGTGAGTAACCACAAAAATAAAACCTTGGGTGGGAGTGTTATAGGAAGATGAGTATCAGGTCTTGAGATGCCTTCTCTAAATTAAAAGAAGTCTTCCACCCACTTTTTAAACAAAACTGATGGAATGTTAAAAAAAAAAAAAGCTTAAATATCCTCTAAGAGTTCACAGTGATGTGATTACTTCCAGTTACCTTCCAGTTCACATTTGATGGTACACAAGTCTGGTAAGTGCTCAGTGATGCATAGGTAGCTGCTATTATTTTTATCATGATCATGATTACTTCATGGTCGTAGATTGACTGGTTCTAACAGCACTGTGTCACTGGCCCCTGGTGGTACTGGTGATGGTAAGGCTGGGTTGCTACAGCTCCTCCTCATTATTACTGAACATTCAGTCCCAGTACATTCCAGGGTGGGAAGGAACCTCTCTGAGCATAATTACAGTGATGCTGAGACTGCGTGCAGAGGTAACCAGCTGTTGGTCCATCTCCCCCTCTGCTCTTCTGCAGCAGTTTAGATGGAGTTGCTTTTATACCCTCCTCCTCCCTATTGGTGCTGTCCTACTGGTCTTAGTCCTGTGGAAGAGCCACAGATGTTGGAATGTCTTCAGGCCTATCCCGGCAAAGGGAAGGCTCCCTTTTCAATTCTACTAAAGTACGGTAAAAAGAGTAATGATGATGTTTAAAAAAAAAAAAAAAAAAAGACTACCAGGAAACCTGTAGGTAAATTAATGTCATCCAGAATCAAAATACAAAACAACAGTGCAAATTCCCAAGACAGTGCTTTGCTGAGGGTACATGTGGAATAGGTGTTATTACATAACAAGCATCAAATGTCACTGCTTCCTAAAGGACAGGACACATGACCTGTCTGGGCCACTCTTTGAGAAGCAGAGCCCCTTCTGTGCACAAGAAACCTATTTTTTTTTCTTTTTTACCTGTGCTGTACATACACTTGGGATGAAATGGACACTCAAATCAGAGGTTCGGTCCCAGGCTCCACACCCACATGTCTCTACTTGGGTGGCCACTTGCACTGTGTCCAGATTGCAGATGGAACTCATCATCAGAGTTCCTCCCAGACCCACCAAGCCTGCTTCTTCATTTTATTCTCTGTTCTTGGTCTTGGGTGATGGCCCCACCAGCCACTCACTCAACCAAGCACGGAATCTAGAGGTCATCTTCGACCCCTTCTTCTCCTTTCTCCACCTCGCTCACCCCTCAACACGTTAGTGAACCCTAAATCTACACATCTCAGACTCTTCTTTTCCCCTCCCTTCCCACTGCCATAATCTTGATTTGGCCTTTCATTCTTTTCTCCGGGAGCTCCTAACTCACTATCTCCCCACCCCCATCTCACTGACACCCAACCCTTTCTTCACACAATGGCACGGAAATAACTTCTCTCGGAGGCCCATCTAATTATATCTCTTTGATGAAATTTTGTCAGTGGCTTCCTCTCACCTTCACAATACGGCCCCAGCCGCTCAGCCTGGCCTACAGGAGCCCTGCCTCCTGTCATCCTTGTCTCTCACCAACCCCCGTGCTCCTCAGACAGCTGCCAGATCCTCCATGCCACCACGCCTTCCCCCTCTGTCCCTTTGCAGACACTCCTCTACTTTGATGGGAAGCAGTAGCTAGCTTCTCCTCACACTTCAGGGTTCAGTGCAGGCACAATCTCTCTCCTCTGTACTAGGCCACCTGCCCCATGCTGCCTCTATTTCTCAAGCTCCACCACCGCCCCCCCCACAGCCCTAGCTTTGCATTTCGCTTTGTGGTATTTACTTGTTTCTGTCTGCCTCTCCTCACCTTCCCACCCAACCAGGCTCAGTGCCTTAAGGTCAGGGAGACTGATTTATTTATTTTTCCTGTTCCCACAACCTAAAAGAATGGTCCTTACTAGGTGCTCAGTACAAAATAATTTCTTTAATAAATATGCACAATGATAGTTCTGAGGCCCTGTGAGATTTAAAATACCTATGGAATTATCAAAGAATTGGTGTACTCATCAGATTTGGATATAAGGATATAAGGATATATTTGGATATATGGATATAAGATTATGGACCCCAGATTCCCTTTATTAGTAATCAATCCTGTTCTAGTCTTTTCCTTTCCATATTCTAAGTGTTGAGCTTCTTAAGTTGCCTCTTTTTCTCTTGGCTTTAACTAATAGAATTGCAGTGCTTAGCCTTGAAACTATAGGTCCCTTTAACTGCTGGTGGAAAAAAAATTCAGCAAGATAAGATGAAAATGTTCTCTCTTGTGCACCTAAGTGTTTCTGGTTTGAGAGTTGGTAGGTTAGAGTTTGATTTGATTGGGAGGAAATGTGTTTTCTTTGTGATAACTGAGGCTTCCTAGAGTGAATATCCCCACACCGTTGGGACCCAAGGAACATTGGGAGAGGCCCCAAGAAGTGAAACCCCTGATCTGCAAAGGTTGCCATTCCTCAGGGGTTAGCTCGTTCTCTGCCATTCTCTCAATAATTATTGGAAATGACTCCTCCATCAAAGTCACTGATTAGCAAAACCACCTCTTCCCCCAACAAGCTGATCCCAAACAACCCCGCTCTTCACTCAGGATGAGCAGGTGTTCATTCGTCTGTTGTTATTGTTATCATTACAGACTTTAGTTTCTTCAGAAGGTTGATATCTAAATGGACCATGATCTCGCATCCCTTGACACCTGCTTTGCTGACATTTCTGTAGGTAGTTCAGGTATCGTGCCTGCATGAATTGCTTTGGCTCTTAGCTGCCCTCTCTTGGCTTTTCCATTGTCTCAGATGAGTAACCTGGTGGCCTCCCAGATCATGAATTATGCGGATGTCAGCTCCCGAGCCAACGCAATTGAGAAGTGGGTGGCCGTGGCGGACATCTGCCGGTGCCTGCACAACTACAACGGCGTGCTGGAGATCACCTCAGCCTTAAACAGAAGTGCTATCTACCGGCTGAAGAAAACCTGGGCCAAGGTGTCCAAGCAGGTGAGCATCAGCAGGCGACACCTCCCGCTGCCGCGAGGAGGAGAGACTGGGAGACCAGAGCCAGGATAAATATTACTGATTAGGAAATAATTAGCTGAAATGTGCAGCTCCATTGCCAAAGAAAGGTGGGTAATTACTGTGTTCTTACCACTTAATTGATTCTGCTCATATGTGTTTCTAAATGGTTAATTTAGAAAAGAAAATACAAACCAAAACACTCATTATAACATATCTGGGGACAACTTCAGACAATGTGGTTGACAGTCAGGAGGTGTTCCCTGAATCATTTAGGGAGGGCGCATTGATTCCAAGCGAGCACAGTGATGTCCGTGGATCCATTCTTTCTCCCTCAAAGGTACAAATGCCTTAGGGCCAAAGACCAGGGATAGAGGCCCTCCATGGTCACCTCTTCTTTGTCATTCAGGTAGTAAAGTTTTGGCATAATGACTTGAATGTGAAGAAATATAACTTCTTAATTTTCTTTTAATTGGACTTAGCTTGTTCACGCTTACTTTTTCCTTCAGATAATTTCAGGATTCAAGTGACATCACCATTTCCCCCCTGCTCTTCCCCCTGAGTGTCAGTGGGTGTTAGGGAGGGCTTTTCCGGGCTTGTGGAAGGCTGTGTGCACCCACTGGCCTCCTGCTGTAGTCTTTGGCAGTTTAGTCATTGGGTACAAGCCGCTGTGAGTTGCCTGTGCCTGGTGTTCAAATGGTCAACCTACCCTGCCAGGAACATGGCATGGTTATTGCACGCAGGGAGCCTGGCTGACCTCACCTCCCATTCATCTCTCACTGGCTCTGCTGATTCTCTGAGATGGGGTGTGTATTACCTCTACTACAGGCTGTGGTGCCCCTTGCTGATCCCTAGTGGGCAGGCTAATTCTTCATTACTAGATAACTCACTTGACCCTCTCAAAGGGTGTTGGGGGAACTTTCTAGGCTCCTCCATGTCCCATGGGCGCCAGAGGCTAGGAGTGTTTATGCCAGGCCCTCTCTGCATATCCTTCTTCCACAGACCACTGTGCCTGCCTTGTTGTGACCACCCAAAGTTGGTGAAGGGTGTCTTCAGGGCGCCCACCTCAGGGGTTTCAGGCAGGAAGAATAGCATATATTCTGCTGACATTTCCTCAAAGCTGTCTGGTTTCTGTTGCCCCCTCTGAGGGTTTAAGCCCCTCTCAGAGACATTGCTTCTTACTCTATTCTATTTTCTTTGCTGTCTCCGAGCCTTTTAAATTCCTCCCTATGTAGCAAGAAACCAAGCCTAAGTCATATCTTTTATCCCCTCCCCCCATTCCTTAGTAAAAATGGAATGCTCTAAGAATCCCAAGTTTGGCCTCTAGAAATGGCAAATTCTTCTGTGAATAAAGCCTGGACCTTGCAAATAAAAGCCACAGCTTTTATAAAAACTGTTTTTAAAAAACTTTTAATCTTGAGATCACTGTAGGTCCATATGCAATTATAAGAAATAATAGAAATCCCTTCCACCCTATACCCAGTGTCCCCCAGTGGTAACGTCTCACATAACTACAGACAATATCACAACCACAAAATTAACCATTGGTACCATCCACCAATCTTATACAGACTTCATTACCTTTACATGTATTCATTTGTGTGTGTGCATGTGTGTGTGTGTGTGTGTGTGTGTTTAGTGTGCCTTTATTACAGGGATAGATGCATGTAATCACCACCAGAGTGAAGATACAGAACAGTTCTATCACTAAGATCCTTCCTGCCACCCTTTTATAGCCCCAGCCACCTTCCCCCCTCTCCCTCCCTAACTCCTGGCAACGACAGATCTGTTTTCCATCTCTGTGATTTTGTCATTTCAAGAATGTTGTATAAATAGAATCATGCAGTATATGACATTTTGAGATTGCCTTTTTTTAAACTCAGAATAATTCCTTTGAAATCCATTCAAGTTGTTACATGTATCAATTCTTAGCTCCTTCTTATTGCTGAACAGTACTTCCTGGTATAGATATGACATTTCATTTAACCATTCACCCCTTGAAGGACATCTTGGTGTTTTCAGTTTCAGCTATTACAAATAAAGCTGCTATGAACATTCATGAATATGTTTTATGTGACTATAAGTTTTCATTTCTCTGGGATAAATGCCTAAGAGTGCGATTGCTGGGTCATATGGTAATTGTGTGTTTAGTTTTATAAGAAACTTCCACTCTTTTCTAGAGAGGCTGTACCGTTTTACATTCCTATCAGGAGTGTATGAGTAAACCAGTTTCTCCACATTCTTTTTTTTTAGATATAAATTTATTTATTTATGGCTGCATTGGGTCTTCGCTGCTGTGCGTGGGTTCTCATTGCAGTGGCTTCTCTTGTTGCAGAGCATGGGCTCTAGGCGTGCGGGCTTCAGTAACTGTGGCTCGAAGGCTCTAGGGCACAGGCTCAGTAGTTGTGGCTCACGGGCTTAGTTGCTCCATGGCATGTGGGATCTTCCCGGACCAGAGCTCGAACCCGTATCTCCTGCATTGGCAGGCGTATTCTTAACCACTGCGTCACCAGGGAAGCCCTCTCCACATTCTTGTCAGCATTTGGTGTTATCACTATTTTTAATTTTAGCCATTTTGAAATCTCACCATTGTTTTAATTTCCACTTGCTAATGGCTAATAATGTTAAACATCTTTTCATGTGCTTGTTTGCATCTGTATATCCTCTTCAGCAAAATACCTAATCATGTCTTCAGCTCATTTTTTAATTAGATTGTTTGTTTTTTTTACCTTTGAGATTTGAGAATTCTTTCTATATTCCTCCACTTTATTCTTCTGTTTCAAAATTATTTTAACTACCTTAAGTGCTGTGACTTCCATATAAATTTTAGGATAAAAACTATGTCTTAAAAACTTTACTGAGATTTCCATTGGAATTCCACTAAACCAATCAATTTAGGGAGAATTGACATCTTTACTACACTGAGTCTTTCAGTCCATAAACACAGTATTTCTCACAATTTCTTTAGGTTTTCTTTGATTTCTTAAATCAGCATTTTGAAATCTTCAACATACAAGTCCTGTATATGTTTTGTTAGATTTATGCCTAAATATTTCATTTTCCTTGGAGATATTTAAATGTTCTTGTGGTTTTAATTTTGGTTTTCACACATTCATTGTTAGTATATACAAATGTAATTGATTTTTTTGTGTTGGTCTTGTATCCGTAACCTTGCTGAACTCACTTATTAGCCCTAGGAGCTTTTTTGTAGTTTCCTTGGAATTTTCTACATAGACAGTTATGTCACTTGTAAGTAGGAACAATCTTATTTCTTTCTTTCCAATTTATATGCCTTTATTTCCTTTTCTTGCCTTATTGCTCTGGCTAGACTTTCCAATGCTATGTTGAATAGGATAGTAAGAGAGGACATTCTTACCTTGTTCTTGATCTTGGGGGGAAAGCTTTCAGTTTTTCACCATTAAGGATGGTGTTAGCTGCAGGCTTTTTATAAATGCTTTTCATAAAATTGAGGAAGCTACTTTCTCTTCCCTAGTTTTTGAGAGATTTTATGATGAATGGGTATTGGAATAGTATTTTTATTTTATTTATTTTTATTTAAAAAAATTTTTAACATCTTTATTGGAGTGTAATTGCTTTACAATGTTGTGTTAGTTTCTGCTGTATAACAAAGTGAATCAGCTATACATAATCATATATTCCCATATCTCCTCCCTCCTAAGTCTCCCTTCCACCCTCCCTATCCCACTCCTCTAGGTGGTCACAAAGCATCGAGCTGATCTCCCTGTGCTATAGCTGCTTCCCACTAGCTATCTATTTTACATTTGATCGTGTATATATGTCCATGCCACTCTCTCACTTCACCCCAGCTTATCCTTCCCCCTCCCCGTGTCCTCAAGTCCATTCTCTACGTCTGCGTCTTTATGGAATAGTATTTTTAAAGTGGGCTTCAAACAGCTATATCAGAATCCAAAAGCTGGACACTGACCCCTTGGTCATGGCTGGGTTTTGCCTCCCTCTAACGCGGTGGTGGCCTCAGCCATTAGGCACTGGATACAAAGAGCATATTATCCTGTCACACACATGTCACATTTCATCAGAGTCGGTATTGGTCAGTCCATAGCCAAGCACAGAATATGTGCTTTGATGACTTGGAAATTAACAGTCGAAAAGATTCATCATGAAAACTCCCTGACACAAGACTTCTTTAAGATTCCCTATTCAACATGTGCTTTTCAGTTCTTTAAGTTCCGAAGTTTCTTGTGCATTACAGTTTTTCTTTTCTACACATTTTCTCTCTTTTTGGCTCAATGATTAGTGTAGTCACTTTTCTTTACGTGTTCTTCCTCCTTTTTTTAAACATTAAATTTAAATATAATGCCCCCCTCTGTACTTTGAAAGTCATATCACATCACAATAGTCTGGCAAAGGTATCAGTAACTGCCACTGTAGAAGAGAACTGAGCATCTTTTGGTAACTTACCACCTTACCAAACCATAGGAATATTTTCATGACATACTAAGTTATTTGTTTCTTTCTAGACAAAAGCTCTAATGGACAAGCTTCAGAAGACTATTTCATCTGAAGGAAGATTTAAAAATCTCAGAGAAACCCTTAAAAAGTATGTCTATCTTAATTATTAAGTTATTCATAATTCACAAACATGTTTATATAATTTTTATAGTGTACAAATAGTCACTTACCTCCTACTTTGGCTTGAAAAGAAAAACAAATGGGAACAACTTCCATCACATAGGTGCTTTTCTGATTTCCCTTTTCATTTTGAATACTGTGGATACAGTAAGTAAATAGCTTATGGACATACTCGTGGTATGCAGAGCTTTCCAAATAAGAGGAAAATATCACCATAGTAAATCAAACCACATAAAGTGTAAATAAAACTCTTTTACTATAAAGAGTTTCTTGACTTGGTATTTCTTAATCTAAACACAGTGATTTCCTGTGATTTTTTTTTTTTTTTTTTTTTTTTGTACGCGGGCCTTTCGCTGTTGTGGCCTCTCCCGTTGCAGAGCACAGGCTTCCGGACGCGCAGGCTCAGCGGCCATGGCTCATGGGCCCAGCTGCTCTGTGGCATGTGGGATCTTCCTGGACCGGGGCATGAACCCGTGTTCCCTGCATCGGCAGGCGGACTCTCAACCGCTGCGCCACCAGGGAAGCCCTCCTGTGATTTTTTAATTTAAATATTCCAGTGCCTATTGATTATTGTTATGTATTTTTGACCTTTTATTGCTGGATCATTCTCTCTTTCTACAGACGCGCGCACACACACACACACACACACACACACACATGTGCACAGAGACAGAGAGAGAGAGAGAGAAAGAGAGAATAAAATGTATTCTCCTGCAACTTGTTTTCTTATCATCTACTGCACATACTTGCCTTACTGTGGAAAATATTGTCCTGTGTTGCCCTGAGAGAAAGAAAGACTCATAGTAACAACAGTGACAACAATAGCACAAGAACTGTTCACTGAATACTTGCTAAATGACAGACTCTATGTGAAGTGCTTGATGTGTCTAATTTAAGCCTCACAGCAAACTAAAGAGATAAGTTTTATTGTCTCCATTTTACAGACAAGGAAACTCCAGTTCAGAGAGTTTGGCCTGCATCACTTAGTAAGTGGTCAAGCAGGGACTCAAACCCAGTTCACTCTGGATCAAAAGGCCATATTCTCAGCCTCTAGACTCCTTGAGAAAAACAAGTTCATCCCCCTTCCAAACAGCAAAGGTCTCACTTTAGCATGTAGTTGTCATATTAATTAAGTCTATACCTTCTAAAACATTTAAGTACTAACTAAAACAGAAAACAAGTTTTACAAGCTCTAATTACATTGATGTTTTTTTCCACCCACTTCTTTAAGGTTGAATGTTTGCACTTTAATGAGGTGAGGGCATGGGGTTTTCCTACATGCTTTTACCCCTCAGAGAAGTGTGGCCAATGCAGATAAATACTGCAAGCAAGTCTCGCTAGCAAACGTTAGTATTTGTCTGTAAGACATCCCGTTGTTTGAAATACCATTGTCTCAAACACATAGTAAAGCATGGGCGGTAATTTTGTATCATATTCTATTGTGAGGCATATTTAAAACTCTGCATATCATAAGTGTGCTTCTGAAAATGGAATTTAAAAACTTGATTCTTCAGGGTGGGAGCAGCACATTTGCTTCCTATTTATTTTAAATGGGGAGGTAAGTGGACACTTGTGGGAATGAGCATGACAACAGTACCTCTTGGTCTTGCAGTTGTAACCCCCCTGCTGTTCCTTATCTGGGAATGTACCTGACAGACCTGGCGTTTATTGAAGAAGGAACACCAAACTTTACTGAGGAAGGCCTCGTCAATTTCTCCAAGATGAGAATGGTAGGTGAGAATTTCATACAATCAGGCTGTCTCAGTGACATCAGTGGCTTACAGAGAAGAGGCGACATCATGGAAGGTCACTGCTTTTTATGCTCGAGGTGAAGAGGTGGTGGACACTGGTGGTGGACACCTGATGTTGGCTGATTCAGGAGGTTTTCGCAGGTCCATTTCAGCTTGCAGTCTGGACAAAGAGGGTAGGGAATAAAGCTCTAGGGATGACTTTCTAGGACTGACCAGTGATAGACAGGTGCTGAGGCTTCTTGCTGGACAGCTGGGTTCTAAGCACCAAGTTAGAAGCAAGGAGCCCATGGACACTAGCACCCAGGGCTTGCCACTCCTGAACCTGAGGCCGCCCCATGCCAGCTGTTTCCCTGATGGTGAATTCAGTATTTCCTTGCTGTTAGCATTTTGTGTGGCTCATTAAAGGAACAAGAAAGCCCTGGGGCCTGGAGCATGATGGGACAGGGCTCCAGATACCTCACTGGAGGAAGGGACTGACTTCTCTGGGACGGGCTTCCAGAAGAATGTGCTGCAGCACAGGGGCAGTACTTAGGCTTTGCTCTTGTTGTTTCTCTGTCAGATATCACACATCATCAGAGAGATACGCCAGTTCCAGCAGACTTCCTATCGAATAGACCATCGGCCAAAGGTAATATTGTGTGGTTGTAAGAGAATTTAATGAAGAAAAAAGGGGAAATTAATTCATTGGAAACAGCAGTAGAGTAGATCAATAGTACCGAAAGCTGACTCAAAGAAAAGACCAATAAAACAGACAAACCTTTGGTAACTCTGAGTAAGAAAAACAAGAAAGAAAGCAAAAAGAATATCAATTCATCATCAAATTCTATCTGTTTTACATCCTGTATTTCTTGTGGAGCTGGAACCACCCCTGGTCCAAACTACCAATATCTGTTACCTGGTCTACAGAATGCAAATCCATTCTACAAATTTACAGCCAGATAGAACTCTCTGAAACACACAGTGGAAGTTGTTTGCTTTATTGGTTTCCCTTTGCTCTTAGGATAAGGAAAGAAAAAAATCTTGATATGTCCAAAAAGTCTTGCATTATGTGGTCCCTACTCATCTTTCAAGATTCATATCACGTCTTATACCCCCTTCCTCTCTCCATCCCAACCATAACTGGCCTTTATTACCTCTTTCTTTCTTTACTTTTGTTCCTTCCTTCCTCCCTCCCTCCATCCCTCCCTCCCTTCTTTCCTTCTTTTCTTTTCATTTTTTAATAGACGTTATTTTTTAGAATCATCTTAGCTTTACAGAAAAATTGAGAAGGTGAGACAGAAGATTCCCATATAACTCACAGCCAATTATCCCTATTAGTCATGGAACCTGACATACTTATTATGAAACTCATAAGGAAGCTTTAATAGGCCAGAAAAAATAAGGACTTTTTGAAAAATAAGAAGAGTAAGGGAGAGCTTACCCTACCAGATACAGACACTAAAACTGTACTGAATAAAACAGGACTATATTGGCACAGGAATACAAACTCAATGGAGCAGGATAAAGTCCAGATGCAGATTTTGTCTATATGAAAATCTAATATGGGATAAAGGAGACGTTTAAAGAAAGCGCCAGAAAGAAACTGACCATTGTATAAATGGAATAGGAATTTTGGCTCTCTGTATTATACCATTCACGAAAATAAATTCCAGATGAATTCACTACTTAAATATTAAAAAATATTAAATTATTTAAATAAAATATAGGACAAAATTTCATGACCTTTGGGTTTGAAAGACCCTAAACACAGAATGCAAAATCTGTAAAAGACAAGCTTGATAAAGTTTTTGCTGAATCAAAATCTAAAACTTCTATATGACAAAGGGCAATTGTTTAAAAAGTCAAAATACAAGCAGTAGACTAGGAGACAATGTTTGTAACATTTAAAACAAAGAGACAGAATAAAAGTATTCCTATAAATCTATAAGAAAAGCATAAACAACTCAATAGGAAAATTGGCAAAGCTATAAGCAGGTAACTCACAGAAGAAGAAACAAATAAATATTTGGAAAATGTTCAACTTCATTAATAAGAAAAAATGCAGATTATGAAGCATCATTATCAGCTATCAGAAAGACAAATTTTTAAAATATTGATAACAGCAAACATTAGTTAGGGTATGGGATAACAGGTGCTCTTATGTACTATAGGTACAACAGTTTTGGAGGTCATTTTATATTACGTTTTAAAATTAAAAATTGATATACCAAGTAACTGGAATTCTTATACACTGCTGGTGAGAGTAACACGGTACAACCTCTTTGGAAAAACTGTGTCATTTGGAGGTTTCTTGAAATGTTAAATATGCATCTACCTTATGACCCAGGTATTTATCCAAGAGGGAAGTGAAAACATGCCCATTAAAAGTCTTGTATAAAATGTTTATAGCATTTCTTAATAATAGCCAAAAATTGGAAACAGCCCAGGTGTCCATAAATAGATGAATGGATAAACAAATTGTGGAACATCTATACATTGGACCCACTACTCAGCAATGGAAGAGGACAAACCACTGAAACACGCCACAATATAGATGAATCTCAAAACATTATGCTGAGTGGAAGAAGCCAGACACAAGAGAGTACATACCGTGTGATTCCATTTACGTGAAGCTCTAGAGCAGACAGAACATGTGGTGGTAGAAATCTGAGCAGCGATTGCTTCTGACAGCAGGTCAATTGGGAAGCTGCATGAGGGAACTTTCTGGGCTGATGGAGTTATTCTCTAGCATGCTATATATGTAAGTTACATGGGTGTTTACATTTGTCAAAACTAATCAAGCTATTAATTTTACTTATGTCTGTTATATCTCAGTAAAGATAAAGAAATATTTTCATGGAGCTACCCCATGTTCCAACATGTTCATCTCCATATCCTCTCCTTTCATTTTCATTTCCAGTGTCTAGAGGACCATTCACATGTGAGCACTAGGAAACATGCTAACAAGGACTTCACTGTAACTTTGTGTCATAGTGAAACACTGACAGCCACCAAACACCCATCGATATGAGATCATTAAATAAACTCTGATATGTCACACTGTTAAAGGTGCACAGCAGTTAGAGCTCTTTGTACTGACATGGGGAGCTCTCCACGACTTCTAGTTTGACAAAAGCAGAATAAAATGTATCGTTTTGATACCACTTATAAGAGGAAAAAATGATTTCTGTTAAGTGCATGGTAATGTCTAGAAAGACACAGAAAAATGTCTGGGAGGATACAAGCCAACTGATAACAGTGGCAATTCTTGAGGGCAGTGCCTGGGGGTGGGAGTTGACAGAGGACTAGAGATGTGTGATTTTTTTTTTTTTATAGTAAGAATATATTCATAATTTTTTTAGTTACCTAAAGTATTTCAATGCTTAGGAGAAAACGTTGAATTGTGTCGGGTTCCATCCAGAAAATGTACATACTGGTGTTGTGACAAAACTCAAAGTGGGGATTCCCCTTTTTTCTCCAGGTCACTCAGTACTTGCTTGACAAAGCCCTCATCATAGATGAAGATACACTGTATGAGCTGTCTCTAAAAATTGAACCTCGGCTCCCAGCTTGACGATCCAGCCTTGCCCTGAGTCGGTGGAATTTTCGTGGAAAGCAGAAGGGACAGAACTGTGCATGCCACGCCTCCCACAGTGCAGGGAGGACGGGGGTGATGGAGACGAAGCCAGTCTCCTTTGTCCCCCGAAGATGATGGAACCAAACGGGAATTCTGTCTCCAGCCAGGGGAGCCCAGTTGGTTGGAGTGGAAGACAGATGCTTCAGACTTGGGTGGGAAGGTGAAGAGATTGATATTTGGTAAAGCTGAGGGCACATTTGCATGAGGGAATATAAGACGGGAGGTGCTGGTAGCCATTTTAATGAAGCAGGTAAGAAGGGGAATTTGAAACTCTGCTGCATATTCTATTAGAACTCGGGGACGAGGGTCCATAGAAAAGGCTTGTGATGTTTCGCTGGCACTTTACTGGCCCGGTGCACCTCCCAGTCTTCTCCTAGGGTTTTAACTGCTTCTGTTACATTTCCTTTGTTACAGGCTTCCAGAAGAGCCGAGGCTGCCTCTGTAGGGATGGGCCGACACATAAGCAATTTCAGTCCTCAGCATGTGCATGGTCCTCAGTGCATCATAAATATTTATATTGGAGGAATGGCATGTTCTGAAACTGCTCTTTCAGTCTTTAGGCAACAGGACAGGGAAGACAGGTTGAAAGTCAAGTGGATTTGTACGTAACATTTCCATAATTAAAAACTCAGTAGCCGTGCCCCTGCGGAGCCCAGCCAGTGGCTCTCTAGAGGTGGAGGAGTGGGGGGCTTCTTCCTGAGGCTGTGGAGACCAGGAAGCCAAGGCCCTTGGAGAGACAGGTGCAGGCTTTGCAAAACGATGGCCACGCACCTCACCGGCAAAACTGTGGAATACGACAAAAGGCCACAAAGTGCTACAGGGAAGAGTGGGTTTCAATGCTAAGTGAAAAGATATACTTAAAAATCATCTCTGCACCTTGCTGTGCTTGTTTTCTTCCCTCCCCCCCCCACCGCCCCCCACCATTGGTAATGTGGGAATCTATTCTGATTTACACAAACCATTTTTAGCCTCACTATGAACGTTGATTGTATTTTTTTTAAAAAAAGCTGTTTAGTGGGATTTTCTTTTTAAAACCCACCCTTCCGTGTGCTGTTGGTAGACGGTTCTTCCTCAGTCTTTAAATTTTGAGACATTTCTGAGTGAAAATATTGTAAGTATATGGGAAATGGACCCAACCACTCAACAGCCCTTGTGTCAGGAAACCAAATGCAGGGGTTAGTCCTCCTACCCTAGGCTGGGAAAGCAACCTTGCTTCTCCCAGGATTGTTGGTTGTTGAAGAAATAGGGCTATCTCATGTTTACCTCCCTCTTCTCTTCTCAGGGAGACCTCTGCTTTCAAAGAAGAGAAAAGATATAGAGTTATTGTTACCTGAGCCTATGGCATCTGGCAGGCATGAAGCATATTGATGCAGACAATGAAAAAAAAATTGACCTGGCTGCTTTCTCTCTTTCTTTGCACTTTAATTATGTTGTTAGAGCTGACAGCTGACTAATAAATTCAACTTGCTGGCTCATAAGACCCAGGGAACTGACAATGTCCCACAGAGGTGGAGAATGTACATTTTTCCTGCATGGTAAGGGCCATGTCTGTACATAACTATATAGTGAAATATCAAGTAAGTAAAAGAAAATACTTATCATATTTGAAGACCATTCCAAAAATATTTTCAATAGCTCATATTAGCCAACAGGATAGCACTAAACCCAAGGAGGGTGACTTATGGATGCTTTATTTTTCTTTTTTTAAAAAAAGTTGCTTGTTTTTTCTCTTTAATTTCAAATAAGAGGTTGATGCATCTTGATGCATGATAAGAAGCATGGGTTGTTTGGATCCTAACAATGCATAACTTACCATTTGTTTCTCAATGTTCAGAAACAGAGTTTGAACTAATATATGTCAATTGCACCAAGCACCTCAAAGTCTTGCAAAAGAATAAGAAAGTCAAGGTTAACTTTCTTGGTGCAAAAACATAGTTTTGAAGGTGAACTAAAATCAGGACAAATCAGTGAAAGGACCACACACATAGTAGTTTCAGGCAGAGCAACATGCAGAAAGGTTGATGCATCGGACTCTGCCCTTAGAATCCCCAAAGTCTTCCAGAAGGGAGGGTGTGGTTCTGTGGGCACTGTCCCTGGAAGTTTGGACCCTTAATTCTCTGACCCAAATGTTGCAGAGGCAATGCAGCCGTTCTTTTTTTTTTTTTTTTTTTTCTTTTTTTTGCGGTACGCGGGCCTCTCACTGTTGTGGCCTCTCCTGTTGCGGAGCACAGGCTCCGGACGCGCAGACTCAGCGGCCATGGCTCGTGGGCCCAGCCGCTTCGCGACATGTGGGATCTTCCCGGACCGGGGCACGAACCTGTGTCCCCTGCATCGGCAGGTGGACTCTCAACCACTGCGCCACCAGGGAAGCCCGCAGCCATTCTTATTAGAGAAAAATAGGAACTAGAGGAATTTCCAAATACTTCTCCCCTTTTGGCATACAGGTTTTCCTCAACTAGTGACCCAAAGCTTTCAGGCCTATTTCCTGCAGAATGTTGGAAGCGCCCCCCAGTGGTCAACTTTGGGCACTGTCAGTAGTCTATGCTGACCTTTTGCATTTTATTGAGAGTCACACACCCCTCCTTCTGCTTCGTAGAGTCTGAAGCCTTGCTGGAGCTGCAAGAGAGAGAACTCCACCTCCAAGGGAGTTGCTTTTGATGACCTGCACTATTTGGGGGCCAGCTGGGAGAGGAAAGTGCATTTTTCAATTTGGTCACATTTAAAATCCCCAAGAGCAATTTGTGGTTTCTTTTTGATTGTTTAAAGCACCCATCCTCTTCTGCCTTGCAAGCTTTGTGTGACTGTTGGAGCGTGCACCCCTGGCTGTGTCTGCTTATATTCTATTATATGAGACCCATTTCTATGAGTAGATGGGAGGTCAGCCCCTAACAGCCAAGTAGGGAACACATATTCTTGCAAAATGAACCCAGAAAATCAGAAGTAAAATCCAGTTTCTTGCTTTCAGATGAATACCCACATTTTGTACTGTCAATGAAATTATCTTGGGGATTTTAGGAGATGCCTTTGGTTATTAACTAAGACATCCAGTTTTGCTACAGGGACAAATCTCTTACATAAGCCAATATATTACACAGATTTAGGAATGAAGTAGAATGTTGTCGCTTTTCCTTAGTGTTTCTCTGAAGGAATTTAAAGAGGGAATTTTAAACAACTGTTGCAGTATTTTCAACTGGCTTTGACACCAAGTCCCCACTACTGTTTGCTAAATTTCAGTACAGATACTGAATACCTTTGCAGAGAAAACTCCCTTATGTTCCAGTTTGGAGTGTGGGTGATGATGGACCCGCCCCTCTTTTTTTTTCTCACAGTGCTATAACAGACAAGACCATGGGTCAGCAATGATTGGGCCACTTTTAAATTCTTAACTAAAAAGAGTAATGCAATAGAGGGGTTGTTCCTAATAAAATTAACTTTTATTTTAAAATAAAGGATTTTATTTAGCTTTTCTTTTCAAAGTTTTATTTTCTTCCCCCTGGATGGGAAAAAAAGAAGAAAAAAACCTTTCCCTTCACTTTATAAGATTTTTTAAAAACCAGCCTGTGAAGTTTATCATTTTTACTGCTGTTGAAATGGTATAAAAGATAACATATTATTTATGGCTAAAGGATAGAGCTAGGCTAATGTCCACAGCCAGAAGGAGTAAGTGAATAGGATTCATTTTCATTTCAGAAAGACAACAGATTGTAGCTTTAAATAATGACTTGATTACAGACACCACTGTGTGAATCCTGGTAATAAGACTTGAGTCAATGAAATCTAATCAGAGTGTCATTTCTCCATGTCTGTCAGTGACTTAAAATTAAGGCAGGGCAGAGCTAAAGTAGAAAACAACCATTTTGTTGTAGGTATAAACACATGAATGATTCAGAAAATTATTCATCTTGGCTACCACACCACATGACGTTAATATTAGGGTTGATTTGATCGTACTTGATCTCACTTGCTCAAGAAAAATAATAGTTCATCAATAAATGATGTTGAACCACTGTCTTTGACACCACCGTTGAGTTTTCCATGGAAAGGCAGTTGTGAAAGAGCACTGGACTAGGCATCCTAGCCCTGAGTCCTAGGCTCAGATCTACATCTAAAGCCTTAGGCCAGTGCTGAAACCTCTCTGATCCTCAGTTTCTTCATCTGTGAAATGGAGTTAATAGTGATTCCTGTGCTGCCTACCTCACAGGGCTGTCATGAGGACAAAATGGATTAGACTGTAAACCGTAAAGTGCTGTCCAAATGTGAGGTAACTTGATTACCATCCTCATCTCTCTTCTGCAGAGGATTTAAGTGTATTTCTTTGTGATTTGTATGTGTGTGTGATGGACAAACCCATGTGTTACTTTGAGAATTATATTGTTTGTGTCCAGTTGCTTTGCAAATCTATGGACATTTGTGACTCCGCCAGAGGGGTTTGTGCTGTGGCCTAACACTTGCCGGGTGAGGTGTGGGTTATGCCTGTATGCAAATTAAACTTTGCCTTTCTCGAATTCTCCAAAATCTCCTTAGTCTCTTCATTTGATTCTTTTAGCATTTTTCTATCTTGTCTCTTTCGTCACAATGGGCTCCTTCAGATATTCTTTTGTTACGCTTCTGAAGTTCGGTGGGGGAAAAGGTTTAGAGGAAGCCATGCTGCAGGTACCAAAATATTAGAGAATTTGGAGGACCTCAAATAAATATTAAGGGTCATCTAGTTCCACTGTCTTTCCAGGGCTTACGTCTTTCCTGTGCCATCGTCAACCCAGGTTTGACCACCTCCAGGCACAGAACTCATTACTGTCCAAACAGCTCTGTTCACCTAATGGCAGCTGACAAACAGGCTGTGGAGAGAAAAGGTGCTGAGGCCTGGCCCAGCCGTCACTGGCTCCAACCCTGGATGAGCCCCTGAGCCATCTAGAATTACTGCAATAGTTACGTGGAATAATACATATGAAAATACTTAAACTTTTTTCAAGTAGATGAAGTTGTCCTAACATTTAGAGCTGAAGGAAACGTGACACAGCTGTTGAGCACAAGAGAGAACTGAGGAAAGGAAGAATGTAGGTCCCTCCTGTCCCATTGGTTTCCTTTTCCATTTCTGAAATGAGCAATCAGCCTGGTGGGGATTCAGGAACCCAGGTTCCTTTCCTCTTGTTACTTGGTCATTCCTTACGGCATCGCCCTTGCCTACTGGTCAAATCTGTGTCCTGCTAAATCCAGGCTCCAGCTGGATTCGGGAACAGAAAAGAGAATAAGCCCACGACAGGAGATCTCCTTTAGAGCAAGTGATAGGGCAGTTAAACACTTCACTTCTATTCCTGTCCCTATGGCAAGACCAAGCCACATGGCCGCCCTGGCCACTAGGTGTGGAAAGAGCCTTCACCCTCTGAAGGGAGTTGGCAGTGATAAGAAACGAGCACGTGTCATATGACAGAGATCACATCTGAAGGATTTTCGGAAATCTGGAATTTCTGTTGAGTCACCTGTGGAGGCTACCATCCCATCACACCACATTTATCGTAAGCGTGAGGATGACTAGGCCCCCAAAAGAAGATACCACACCCCTTTTCTCGATAAGATCCCAACTTCTCTTCTGACCTTACTTACTAACTTATGTAAAATTACACTGTAAAAGATGAGGGGTTGAGGTAAGGTGTGGGAGGTGGGGGGAGGCTAAATGTCCATTAGTAAGGAATTGGGAAAAAAGAAAGATGGCAATTTATAGGCATAGGATGCCATCCTGTAAATTCTACACCTCCATGCTCTTCAAAAGCCTCACCTTTCTCTGGATCTGGGCTATTTCAGGCTCACTGGATTTATTTCATCTGATGCCTGAACTGCCATGAAACAGCGAAATAGCGAAACAGCAGCTGGTGAGCCCCGCAGACCTCTAGCTTGCTGCCTGTTCTGCCAGGGGAGCCGGAGGGACCATGGTCCATTAGGACAGAATGTGCACACTGGGAACTCAACTCTTCAGAGGAACAGTTTGGTTGGTCCCAATCTGCAATTGTTTAATGAAAGAACATAGGAGAGCCTAGAAAATATCTGAGTATATCATATGCAGAAAGGGTATCACTTTGTAAAAATTTCAATTCATTGTAAGCTAGGTTATAATGATGCCATATATATTAACTGAGGTAAGACCAATACACAGTAAAGTGCTAGAATCTTAAGTGTACAGCTTGAGGAATTTTTACATGTGTGTACCCCCATACAACCGCTCCCAAATCAGGAAACTTTCCAACCCCAGAAGGCCCTCTCATGCACTCTCCCAGTCAGTACCCCCATGCAAAGGTAAAATATTCGTTTTTTGCTTTGGGTCATATTTAAAAGAGGTGGAGACTCTGAAAGAGAACCTCTCTAGGTGGGAGGTTATTCCTGGGCTCCATCATCCCCTCTGTACATGGATTGGGTCCTGAGAAGGAAGGGAAAGGAATCAGCTGGTGATGTGCACGTGGCCATAGAAGCTGGGTACGTGACCATCACCAGAGGCCTGGGCAGCTCCCTCTGAAATACAGGGCTGCAGTCCAAGGTCCTGGGGGGTCATTGCTATTTACAGTCAACCTTTCTGGTTTGTGGTGTATGTTCCAAGGAGGGCTATTTTTAAGCAGGGCGATGGCCTGCAGGACCTTCTGGGTAGTAAATTAAGCTGGTGTGGATATAAAGTGAGATTGTCAAGCAATCTACTTCAGATGGCCTGATCTAGAAGAGACGGGTGATTGTCCCTGAATCCAGGCCCCAGACAACGAGCTGGAAGGAGATGTCCTGGTCCCTGGTTCAGAGCATGATTAAAAACTGGAGAGAGGGAGCTTTACACGTCTTCCTTAGCTTGGAGGGGAGAGGGGAGAGGGGAGAGGGAAAAGGGGAGGGCCCCGGGAAGAAGGGACCATCCTCCACAGCTAACCGGGGCCCCAGGGATGGGCTCTTGAAGGAAGATAGGTACAAATTCCCTAACAGGTGCAGCAGTTTCCAGACGGTCCTTCCACCCCGAGGCCGGGGCCGGCAGGCCTGAGCAGCCAGTCAGCTGGGCTGCGGGCCCAGGAACCCCTCGCAGAGTTCGGGGAGAGGCAGCCTCCAGCACCGGATTTAGGGGAGGGAAACGTTTCAGAGAAAGGGCAGATGCTAGAAAACGGCGGAAGAGTCGGAGTCCGGCCTTCAAGGGCAAGGCTCGGGGACCAAGTGCGTCCCGAGGCCTCAGACGGGATTGGCCGAGACGGGCCCCGCCCTGCCCCTCTCGGCCCCG